GTTTCTCGGCTCTTCACGTTTCTTGCTTGTGAACGAACGATTAGCAGACTGTCTTGGAATTAATGCGAGTAGACAGTCTACCGTGTGTCTCTTCTATAAAGAGATACGATCCTATTTGTCTAACCAAATCTCTGTATTTACCTTACTGGCATATTCTCTTTAACAATAAATTTCTCTTTTTTTTTTCTTTATTCTTCTCTCTCTCTCTCTCTCTCTCTCTCTCTCTCTCTATCTATTTATCTCTCTCTCTCTTTCTCTTTTACTCGATATATCTTCTCTTTCTCTTTCTTTCTCTCTTTTACTTTTCACCGAGTGATTTTTAAATAATTCCAAAAAAAAAAAAAAAAAAAAAAAAAAAGAAAAAAAAACATTTAACATTGTTCTTCCTTTCTTCCTTTTCAATATTTCATTCCTTCAAAAATTTTTCTTAATCAAAAGAACTTTTTAAAAAACATTAATTTAATTTCACTTTTTAATATTCTAATGTATACCATCATTATTATTTTATCCATCATTATTTTCCCTTTCTTTTTTTTTTTTTTTTTTTTTTTTTTTGTGAATATATATCTAATAAAAATATAATAAGAAATGTTTTCAATTGAATCTTCGAAATTAAATGTCTTCCAATGAAGTTTATATGACGAGACGCTTTTTTAATTTGCATTAAAAGTATACGAAATGAAATATTTATATAATAAAATGTGTAAAGAGAATAAAAATTTATTAATAGAAATCTTGCAAATCTAAATATTATTGATAAAACATATACAAATTGAAACGTTTCATTCCATTCATGATTTATTCTCTTTCTTTCTCTCTCTCTCTCTCTCTTTCTGTCTGATGTCTTGCTTTTTTTCTTCACATAAAAAACAAAATACGTAATTGCACGTAAGACAATACTACGTGCGGAGGAGAGGGGGGAAAAGAAAAACAAGAAGAAAAATAAGAAATAAAAGATGCATTGAATGAACATTAAGGTTCCAAGATAATTCAATACGGACAGTACATTGCAATAAAAATTGTAAAACGAATGAGAGAGAAAGAGAGAGAAAGAGAGAGAGAGAGAGAGAGAGAATAAGATACAAAAGGAAGCAAAAATAAATAACAAAGACGATTGCATTCAATGGCCTAATCCCATTTCATTCTCTCGTATCTTGTTTACCAAGTTATTTCAGAAATTATATTACAGTCCATATCGGAAGATACCCTAGACCTACGTAAAACTTATTCTTGCGTTAAAACTGCATTAACACGACAATTGTAATATTTAAACAAATATATATATATATATATATATCTATATCATAATAATAATAATACTATTGTAAAAGCAAAAAAAAAAGAAAAACAAAAGGAAAGAAAGAAAGAGGAAATAATTCTAAGGGTTTCACGATAATATACAAATAATTCATAATAAATATCTGTAGAAAGAAAAAAAAAAAGAAAAGAAAAAAAAGAAAAAGATTTTAATCAGTAATTGAAAGAATTTTTTTCTCTATCCTCTTTTACAATCAATTAAACAAATAATTTTCCATTATTCTTTTTTTCCTTTTTTCCGAACGATTCGTTCTCCTACTATATCAACGAAATAAACATACGTACGCATACACACGCGCGCGCGTACATACGTAAATACACGCATAAATACATATCTATATATCTTTTTGTAGAAAATTTCTAACTCTTATCGTAGGCGTGAATAACGCGTATCAATACGACCAAAACAATAAATGAAAACACTATGAGATAATCGCAATGTATCTTATATCAGAGAATGAAGTGCATAGACGTATCTTATTCTTTTTGTTAAAGAGAAGAAGAAGAAGAAGAAAAAAAGAAAATAGAAATAAAAAAAACGAAAAAATAAGATAAAATCTCATTGAGAGAAAGGATGAACGCAAGGCGTTGTGTCTATCAGCATGAAAGTCGACATAGCTATGCGTAAACGGTATACTTGTTTTCTATCTAAACGGTCGATGGTGAATGGTCGTTTGGTGTGTCAGAAAGAGGAAGAAAGAAAGAAAGAAAGAAAGAAAGAGAGAGAGAGAGAGAGAGAGAGAGAGAGAGAGAGAGATAATTAATTTAATTAGTTTCAGCGAAAGGCTAACTTTAATCGTTCGTTTCGCTCGTATGCGAATAAATCGTAAACGTTCGTTCTAAATGGGAAGCTTTAAAAGACGAATCGATATGTATGTAAAAAAAAAAAAAAGAAAAAAAAAAACGAACAATAAAAAAGAAAAAAAAATATACATATATATATAAACGAAAAAGAGAGCAAGAATTTAAAGTAAATTCATTGGAAATAATCTCGTTTGAAAGACGATATCGTATTGAAATAAAATCATAAATTCTCTAACAAAATTACGAATGAATTCGATTAAGATAGAAATATCTTTTCTTTCTTTTTTTTTTTTTTTCTTTCCCCGCCACCGCACCCTTTTCTTTTTTTACTTTTTTTTTTTATTTATGAAAGAACGTACCTATACGTAAATAGAGTACAAAAAAAGAAACAGCAACAAGAAAAGAAAAAGAAACATTTGAACGAACACTTGAATTTATTATTCTTATGTTTTATTTTTAATTTCAAACTTCAATTCGTTTTAACATTTAATTTTGAACTTTGTTAATAAATTATTTCAAAGAGTACGAATTTTCAACTGGGTTAACGAGAGAAAAAGGCTTCTAAGATCTTTAGAAACAGGAAGTGATTCATAATCGGTATTTATACTAATCGCCCATCGATCTTTCCATATATATCTTAAAGATCCGATCTCGAGAAATACGATTAGGTTGATTACACCCTACTGTGATTATTTTATTTCATACCTATATATATATATATATATATATATATATATATACTCATCGATTTTCTTCACGATAACACAAATAAAATGATTTCTGTATATACGAATAAGAATTAATCTCTCTCTCTCTCTCTCTCTCTCTCTCTCTCTCTCTCTCTCTCTCTCTCTCTCTCTCTCTCTCTCTCTCTCTCTCTCTCTCTCTCTGTTTTTCTCTTTCTCACATAATACGCACATATACAATTAGACAGACAGATAGACGCGCATACATATACGCGTTAATAACAAAAAAGGAAATAATTTTCTAATACGAAATACATTATTTCAAAAATTGTATTAACTTCTTAATCGAGTTAGAGAAAAGTAAAAAAAAAAAAAAAAAAAAAAAAAAAAAAAAAAAAAAAAAAAAAAAAAAAAGAAAAATCATTGACCTCCCTCATTAAAACCATAAATACACGTTACCGTACGACGTGATCATTTCAACGTGGCCGAACTTATATCCACCCTTTATATATATATATATATATATATATATATGTATTGCGTATGCGTGTGCATATACGTATATATCTAAGTATACGAGTACGACCTGTCCGTAAGAAGACAAGGATAGATATATGTATGTTTCACAGGGATAAAGAGTGAGATGGTGAATCGATGGTCAGAGAGAATGCCTTTGATCCGTCGTCCTCTTCGACTAGCCATAAAAAGGGCGCCGTTTACGCTCGTGCCGTACCGTCCCGTGCCGTGCCTATTCGTACCGTGCTGTGCCGTACCGTACCGTGCTGTGCCTTGTGTTTGCCTCCCCCCCCTGTTCTAGAGATACTAATACCAAAAGAGAGAGAAAGACAGAAAGAAAAAAAATAGAAAGAGAGAAAGAGAGAGAGAAAGAGAGAGAGAAAGAGAGAGAGAAAGAGAGAGAGAGACATTCACACACATACACAGAAAAAGACAGATAGAATCAAAAGAAAATAGAAAGAGAGCATACGTCGCTAAATATAAAGCCAAAGAGCCCGGGAGGTGCGGAATGTTCCTCCTGACACTTAATATTCTTGGACAGAAGAGAACGGGGAACTTTTACGAGGTCGCCACACACGCACCCCCTCTCCCCTTCTACCCTCCCTCTTACTGTCTCTCTATCTCTCCATCCTCCTCCCCCGTCCAACTTCCCGCTCTCCTCCCTCTCGCGGTCTTAACGAATACGTGAGAGAATTTTTCCCATATTTTTTTTTCTTCCTTTCCCCACCCACCCCCTCCCCCACCCCGATCCCTCGACCACCACTCCTCCTCTACGTAAGACCACACGCGTAACATTTTTCGTATACCTATGTATTTACACGAAGAAGAAAGGGGAATCCAATGTGGGACCTTTGTACACGGTAGATTGTTGTTTTGGATGGATTGTTATTTTTTTTTGTCTTTTCTCTTTTTTTTCTCCTTTTTTTTCTGTTTTTTCTTTTTTTTCGTTTCGTTCCTTTCTTGTTCCTTTTGTTTGTTCCTCTTTTCGTTTTGCGACGCTCGTATCATTCAATCTCGTATTAAGTTCCATATAAATATTCTATATATATATATATATATATATATATATATATATATATATATATATATATATATATATGTATTAGATAATTACGTCGTTGAAATTATGGTAAATTCGTTGAAGTAAAAAAATGGATAGATTAATATACTTTTTTCTTTGTTTCTTTTATTTTTTTTTGTTTTTATATTTTATATAATAAGCCAATAAAAATTTTGATAAGTATACGTATATATGCGCGTGTGTATACTTTTCTATACGATTATATATATGTGTATATAATTCTATATGATTATTCTATGTGACATAATACTGATTAATATTATTTATAAATTTGTTCTGATATAAAACGATTAATTGATGGAAATAAAAATGTTATTCTTATAAATAATGAATTAAATTATAAAAACTTCGTACGCGCAATTCTTCAAGCTTGCATAATTTTAATATAACTCTGTTTTACATATACATATATATATATATATATATAATGATTAAAATTAGGGTGAATTTTTTTTGAAGTAAAAAAAGAAAAAAAAACCAAGAAAATGTATATAGATATGCATAGACAAATATGTGTTCTTGTTTCGATAAATAATAAGTTAATAAAAATTCATGGTCTTGTTTTATGTACTTTATATACTTTAATTAACGCTTAC